AGCAGGACTTCGAAAGCACTCCGCCCCCAAAAGCGATCCGCCCACTAGTTTAGTTGGTGATTTGGACGAGCGTTGCCAGCAGCGGCACAACTGGGGCAACTCGAGGGACTAAGCCTGTTAGGGGGCGCGTTACCTGGAGAAAACTTGACTGCTAAACCTGTGGCCTCCTTCTCCGCTTAGTGGTTAGTCCTTCTTTTGACGTTTTCGCAGTGCAAAGTGCGTTGCCACCCGATTACCCCCTATTTTGCGATAAGTGCCTAGAAACTTTTACGGACACCTCCACGAGGTGGGTGGGGGAGAGGGAAAGCTCTATAGAGCTAACCGGCATGAATTTCCAAAAAAGTATTACTCTAATTCCACAAAATGGCTGGGTTGTCAACAAAACTTCCTCAGATGGGACTGAAACCCGCACCTTTTGCTTACCGGGCAAGTGCGTCAAGTGCGTCAAGTATCAGCTGCCGTTACACTAGCATCATAACTAGGGGGGGGAAATGTTTCGAGTGACGTCAGGGCGCAAAGTATTTTCACAGAGAAGGTGTAAGCCAACAACCTTATTAACCCTTTCCGGACCGCCTGACACACATGGTGTGTCAGGAACTTCAAGAGCTGATTTTTCCAAGAGTTTGGTTTTTCGATAAAATATTTTATGTTGTTACATACCTATGTAACAGACTCATGCCATATGTATGAAAAAACCTAGACTTTAGGTTTAATCTAGGTTCTAAAATAACCAAAGAGTAAATGGACTTCCACTTTGGGCTCAAAGAAAACAGTTGTAGTTCGCTTGAAAACACTTAAAAACGAAGAATTTGTGAAATATCCTGCTCGTCGTATCTGATTCTTATGGATCCAATCGTTTTGGGCACGTTCTACTCCCTTTTTCTCCATACCAACTTATTTTGAACAATTTTCGTCCCTTCCTCCCTTTTTATGGCCCTTTCCCTTTTTTTGCAAAACAGTTTTCTGTCAAATTAATCTTATATATTCTTCGAGACATGACAAAGACATAAACGAGACAAAATAATGGCTTTAGTGGGAATACAGATTAAATATATGATATTTATGCTTGCCGCGCAGCATGCGGCCGTGAGCGCAAAAAGTGCGCGGTCCGGAAAGGGTTAAAATGCAACACAAGCCCATTCTTTGCTATTTTATTAATGATATTTGGATTAATACAAAAATTACGCTATACTAATATATGTATAATCAAAGATCGGATATGCAGATACGCAAGCTCCACGGGAACTCTTTTGAGATCATCTGATACTCTGATATGCAGCATTCGATTTCAATACAACCGCGGGAGCGCATGAGTCTATTTGACGTCATATGATCCGCGTGGAGCACTTAAAGCCGAACTCCTAGAAGAAATCTGGCGAGAAGATCTCAACAGCTCTTTCAATCATAGCCATCGCCGCCATGACACTCGAAATATGGCCGTGGCGTTCCCAAGGGCTCAAATTTATGAAACCAATAGAGGCGCAAGTTGTTCAAAGGGGTTCTCGTTTGAAGGCTCGTTGTATTTCGCATGAAGTCCAGCAAGGAAATAAGTGAAAGCGATGTTGGATCGGGAAAAAAACGTGGTGGTAATTAAGTGATGTAGCGCAGTGCCAAGATGGGGGACATGCAGTTCTCATCCCAGGTGAGTTCATCAGAGCTGCACGATGACTGAAGACAAAGGCTAGGCTCAGGCTCATGCTTAGGCTTGCCAAGATTAACTCACAGGTGTCGTAGTCTGAGGTGACCTGAGCAATGTTGAGAACAGTTGCTAATACAACTCCGTCAATTTTGAAGCAGGTCACCTGATGTGATGAAAACATTCTGACATAAACCTTGATATATCCCTATAAGTCATACAACAGGCGAAATAGTCACTCTTGTCCTTCCTTATGAATGCGATATTTCGAAAGAAAACTGCATTTGGCCGAGAATGTGGGCTAAAAGAGGAAAATCGCAATAATACCACGAAGAGATTGCCGTGCGAGGAGCATTTTTCATAACCAGCAGCTCTTCAAACTTTCATGAACACTGCACTTTTCCCCTCGTTTCTGCAGAGTCCAACACGAATGATTCACAGCCTGCTATTGAAAACGCCGACACGGGAGTATTCTCGGAATTTCCTATACCCAGTAAAAAGCCCTTAGGAGTAAAACATCTTCTTCAATTGATTACCTGTGACCATCAGAAAGAATAGTACCACACTATCGTAAGCCAGTGAAACTTCGCTAGCGCTTCAAAATGTGAGTAGTGTGAAATCACGGCCCATCGATTAGGACGGCCCTCCACCGTACGAGCAAAACGGTACTGAATCAGCGCAGCTACCACAGAGACAATGCTCCAGCTATCTACCGCTCCATTAGCTTTTAACTCCCTCTGCTTACTGCAACCAACCAGTGGACCGTGACGGACAAGTTGGTGCAGTAGCAACGTGATGCTGTCCTCACCCTCGCATGTCGGGGAATCGATTCTGTATCCTGTCGCACAGGAAAGTCAAAATCTTGCCTCGCCATCTTGGGATCGCTTCATTCCATTGCCGACTTGTCTAGAGGGCATGAGCAATCACTAATTTTTCGGCGACCTTAACGTCATGCATCGAGCAAGTATAATATCCAACGTACAATAACGAGTTGAGCAGGTATGCCTGGCGGCGATCCAGAAGAGATTTGGATCAAAGTCTAATGCTCACCCTTCATTAGCCGTAATACCGACTTTATCTGCGGCAATTTCCGAGCCTAGCATTCAAAAGGGAAATAATGTTAACACTCTACTCATGGCTACCAATCATTGGTCGCACTAGGCAGAAGGGAGTGCCAAGCTTGGAAAACGGTAACTTAAGACGTGAGTGCTAGCTTTTTTCTACATAAAATCTTCATCAACGAGACTAAGTCAAGCAAAATGGCCAATCCTAGCGTAACGCTCAACAATCCTCATTTCAGCTGACCAGCATACACATGATGAACAAACGGTGGACGAGCTTTTTTGGTCCTTCGAAATGATGCCGGAAGTTTTCGAATCACCACACAAAGTTGGCATTGAGTACCTCACGTACTCGTTGAACGATGGTGGGTGTTCTTGCTGCGCTTTAGTTTCCAAAATATGAATCCAGAATGGGCGCTATTCAAAGAGATGGGGCATTTCCTAGAACTATGTACATATGCCTAGGGCAGGAACTTCAAGAAAAATGAACTTTGCTTTGGCACCCTAAATTCCCTTTCCGCCTGAGAATTAGCCCTTTTTTCCACACAAAGAAGGTGTTCTGTGTTCTGGTTTTGAATGAGTTGCCGTAATAGTGCCCCCTTATCTTGAGATAGCGGTTTTAGAATTCACTGATGCAGGTAGCGTATTATAGAATTGTGTGCACGAAGTGACCTTTCCTCCACATCGTCCTGGTACATAATCCTGGTACACAACTGATCGTGCTACATGATTTAATGATAATTGAAAATGTTGTGTACAGAAGCTCCCAGTACATCCTGTGTCACATTGCTAAACAAGTTGGCGGTCAAATGAGTGTTTGTTTCGTGAAGAGGTCCAGGGATCATCGCATTTTAGATGACTGAATTATGGAATGAGGGTGATCTGACTGAAACCAATACACCATATCGACAGTGAAAACCCTGTTAGTGGAAATTTGGTTTTCCATACGGCGTGTCCTTCTCACGGCGATTTGCGCCATCCCGCACATATGAGGAGGTAAAAAGACACTTCCATACACATTTGGCCGGCCAAAGACAGCAGTTAAAGGAATCTTCCACGGAAAAAGCTCCGCCCTCATTACCACAGAAAACGATACCTTAAAGGAATCTTCCACGGAAAGAGTGATCATTTTGTCTTGTGTGTAGGATTAGTATTATCGAAACTAACGCTTATGTTCCGTTCTTTTTGCTATGCTCATGAGGCTAGGGGCCTAAGGGGTATCGTTTTTCTGTGGTAATGGAGGCGGAGCTTTTTCCGCGGAAGATTCCTTTAAATAAAAAATTGTAGCTAACGTTAAGCATGGCTTAGAGGCAGGATCCACGATGAAAGTTAGCTCGTTGGAAATAACGGTAGAGGTAGTCAGTGGAGCAGAGACCATTTAAAACGACCCAAAGCGAGTGATCATATGAGGCGTACCCGCCAACCGCGCCAAGAGTGAGCCATGCTAGATCGCCGAAGTCAAATCTTTCGCTGCCAATTGCGCGTCGGTCAGCACCCTCAGGAGGTCCGCCTGTCTCCCAA